ATGTGATAACCCCTTAAAAAGTTAAATTGTTAACATAAATATAAGTAAAGTATTATAAAATTTCTTTAATTTTCATTGAAATTTATTCAAATATTATAAATTTTGAATATTTTAATAAAATTAATTTAACAGTACTGTACCCCCTCCCCACTTCCCACTCAGGGTTTTTTTTTAGCTTTGGTTAAACTTCATGTGAATCTGTTATCAAATTGCAGACTTACAATTAGTAGACCCTGTACCCCAAATCCTAGGAGAAGCCCTGATGTGAATTATCAGACTTAAATGCAAGATTAAATCTTCAGGAGTTCACAAGTATGAAAAAACAAATTTTAATCTGAACATAGATTCACTTTAAGGTGCATTTTCGGGGCTCATATGATTGAATGTTTTGGTAATATATACATTAATTTAAATGTATGACCACACATATAAATTGACAAAGTTCAAACGTATGAATAGAAAAAAATTATTGGTTTTGTGGACAGGTTGGATTGAAAATCGGACAGGTCAAATTTATGAGCACCTGTCCGAAGGACAGGTGCTCATAAAAGTTAGTGTCTAGCCCTGTGTATGATATAAATATCAACGTGTTGTATTCCTGATCTCAGGGCTTCGATGGTAAAGAACAAATTAATGATGTATGACAGCAAAACAAAATACTGGTCATCACACAGCCTCATAACAAACACAATGCAGAAACCCCCAGTATCAAGATCATTGAAAGTGTGGTCAATACTCTCATGCAGAGCACCTCTGGACAGATACCTGGACACCTCTGCCTATAGACAAGCAAATATTGCAAATTTCCAAGTCATGCATGTTTCACATCAGAAACATAGCTTCATTGAAAAATCATCTACATGTAAGTGACTCCCCTGCAGCTACTATTCTAAATGCCATTATTACATCTCCACTACACTACTACAATTCTCTTCCTTACAGATGTCCATAAGAAAAACTAAAACATCTGATAATTTTATCTCATTAACATTATCTGAAACATAAATAAAAGTCTATATAATATTTGTAATTATAATATTTTTCATACTTTGAACGAGTGTGTGAATGGTGTTTGTCCATACCCATTTTTTAAAACTTAATTGACAATTAATCTCTGCATATGAAACAAAAAAGTAACATTTTGTTATTGCAGAGACAAGAAAATTCTTGAGATCATGCATGCTACTGTGATGCAGACAGATACTGATGATTGGAATATGTTCAGGCACATATCACACAGCCTGTATATAATATTTCCAATCTAATTTAATAGTTGAACTAGAGGATCCAGGTATTGTACCACCAGCTGGAATAAGTACATTCGTATGGAAAATCAAAAAAAGAGACACTACCTCCAGTGTTTTGCTTGACAAGCTCTGCAAAATGCAGTAAACAAGAGTTCTCAATATTTTTGTGGAAAATTACCATTTAAAACAAAATCATGAGGAAAAGTAGTTTAAATCCAAATTTGTGAAGTGTGCTTCACAAGCCAATTTCAAGATTGGTTATATTGCCAGTATACGATTTCCTATTCAAGTTCAAAAGTAACTATGGACCTATCTCTGACAGTTTTGGAGATGTAAGGGACTAAAATGTTGCAAAGTTCAGTTCATAGTGAAAGTATGTCAAGGGTCAATTTCAAGGTCACATTTAGATTGCCAGTATATATCTTCCTATTCAAGTTCTATTGTAACTTTGGACATATCTCTGCCAGTTTTGGAGATACACGGGATGGAAAATTTGCAAAGCCAGCTGTTTCATGAAAAGTAGGTCAAAGGTCAATTTCTAGGTCAAATTTAGATTGCCAGTATATATCTTCCTGTTCAAGTTTAAGTAACTATGGGTCTATTTCTGCCAGTTTTGAAAATAAAAGGGACTAAAATTTGATAATTTTGGAGTTGCAGTAATGTGCCATAAATTACGTACAGAAGAGATTAATTGAAATAACGAAAAGATTGTTTTGGTCAAAATGAAATGGAAGGTGCTGATAAATTCCAGAAGTTCGAATATTATGGAATTCTGTCATTTTGACCAGAAGTTGTTTGTCCCTCGCCAAGCCTTATGCTATCTTTTCCCCGGCGTTCAATATTTCCTGGCATTTTACCGCATTTCACATTTTATTTTCATCACCACCTTGAACTTTTTGATGAAGCACAACTCGTAAACCATATGGACAACAAAAACGGGCACCACTTTCAGTGTTATGCTTGACAAGCTCTACAAAATGCAAAAAATAAAAGGTCTCCAGCATTTAGGGTTCCTGAATAAGAGAGTTTTCAGTTTCGGCATCTTATGGCTGCTACTCCTGTGAAAATGCACCGATTGACCCCAAACTCAAAAAGATGAAAGGAGTCCCTAATTGTAACCCCTCAATAAAATATGAAAGCTTAGGTCTATGTAGTTTCTGAAAAATTAGCACAAACAAATATTTTTTTCAGAAATTACCATTTTTAGAAAATTTTGACCCATTTGACCTTGAAATAAAGGTCAAAAGTCAAATCAAAGGGCATGTTTGGGATCTCCACATATGACTTTCAGTCAGACTTCTATAGTAATTTTTCCTATAATTCCTTCAGTTTGGGAGATATCTTTCATTGAATTTTCAAAAATTTTGACAAGGGTTTGTTTCAACAAGCGTGATGCCCAGGTCAATGCACCGACAGAGTAAAAAACCAGGGGGTTCAAGTTGAGATAATATGTGACCTAAATCCAAGAAATGGGGACACAGACCCTTGCGGTCTAGGAGAAGCAGTAATGGTGACTCGTGTCCCACGCTATCCTGCAGAGCTGGTGGAGTCGCAGGAGCTGTACAAGATGGGACAGGACTAAAACCAGGAGTACCGTCAGTGTACACACGTAGTACTAATAACTGTAATCCAGCCAGCCTGAATATATCCAGCTTACCTTTTACCCAGTGTTACCCCAGCCAATTTGATGAGTGCCCTCATGCAGGAGTTGGTGAGCAATGTATTTTCATCAAAGTCAGCACCCTGGTCATAGCTTTCAACCTAGAATTAGGACATGAATAGCAGGTCAGCACATGGAATAAATGGGTCATTACCTTTAAGGGCTAAAACAAAAGTCAGTTGTTAATTAATTGAAACCATTGGAAACTTGGTATAAAATCAAGCAATATTTTTTACAGAAATTGACAGTTTGGCCAGAAATGACAAATATAACCTAACAAAATTTATCTACAGATATTGTTCTGGTTGCTTTCTCTCAAGTTCTGCCCAACATTGCAAAAATTCACCATTATATACCTCTAGCCCACAGAGCTTCACATTTGTTACTGAAAAGTTACCAAAACCTGGTGATTCTTGCAAGTGCTGTAGTCTTGTATAACAACACAAAATTCCGATAGCCTCATTTTAGGTTATCGATTTCCAATCAGACAAAGTCATCAATGATACTATGGGAGGCTTGTCTCATATTTATATGATGTATAATAGTTTCTTATCAATGTAGAAATAGTTCTACAAAATTAATAGAATGTTTGAGGAAAGTTAATGTAAAATAACTGGATAAAATATCAGATATATAAACAACATAGCAATTATATAGATATTTAAGTGACATAGTGTAGGATTCTAAATATTTTAAGCACATAAACCACTTCCTGTTGAACTTGTTGAAATATAGTCTGTCTGTAGGATATTTTGTGCGAAAAATGCGAAATAATTGTATTCCCTTAGGCTTCAGTCACTGTAGTAGACTGAATAATGCCACTTACTGCTCTTGATATAATGAATGTCTGTAAATTTGCTGATGGTAATCTAACTTCTTTGGACACAATATATCCCAGTTTGCATGATGAAATTACCAACACTTTGTCCTCTATTCAAACGGACACATAAGTCATTCTTCGTGGAAAATGTTTGCAGGACTCAGAATTTATTTCCCCAATTCAAAAACCACAAGGCATTGTTTTCTGCCTAAGATATATTGGCTTAACATCAACTACAGTAAAGCAAGGTGTATCAAGTCTTGCTGATGCATATTTCAAGCAACAACAACAACAACCACAAAAAAAAAAAAAAAAACAAAAAAAAAAAAAAAAAAAA